CAGTATAATGAGTGCTCAAGTCCTCATCTGTAAATTTGCAGTTTTTACTTGTGTTTCCTATTTTTTTACCGATGCCTTACTTGACTCGCATGGCTCGCTGGCTCGCAGTTTGTCAAGACCCAAAAACAAAGCTATGTCAGTGTTAGCTTGTTAAATACCAGTTAAGTGAAGTCTCGGATCCCTGGCATCTTGTACACAACGGAGATTTTAAAATTTCGGCCAGAAAGGCGAAGAAAGTCAGCAACGTCTGTTTCGACGTACAAAACCATCTTTTTTCAATAAGAGCCAGTAAAAACCTGTACATCAAAAGATGAATTTTATTTAAACGAGAATTCAAAAAAATTCCCTTCATACCGAAGGCTTTGCCTTTGGCCTCAGTTCGGCCTCGCTTTGAAAAGGGGGCCCAGGCCAACTCGGAAATGATCACACATGATATCTTTAACTTGATTGGAGCTGCGCCTCTAAATATCGAGTAAAAAAGTGAATTTGAGCTCTCGGGCCTGATAGATTGTTAATAGGATGGACTCAAGATACGTTTGACGATGTGTGCAAATCTGATGTTTGAGATCGTGGACAAAAGCCAAATTGTATTCATTGCACCCTTAGCCTTGTTTGGTCTGAAAGAACCCTTGCTTCAGGCCGATAGCTAGTGTCTAGTCACTAAATTTACATCTGGACTGAAAAGAAGACGTTTCAACTTGAAAGAGACTTGCACCTCTCCCTTTTCGTCTTGGAATGGAACTTTTTTCCTTTGATGTTAGGAAAAAATTAGACAAGCTGGTAGTAAAAAAGCTACGTCTATTATTTTGGTTTAGTACACTATTTTAACCAACTATTCCACTGAAATATTCATTAATCTCTTGCATTTCTCTCGAAACCGCCATAATTGTTCCTTTTATTCTCCTCTGCCAGTCCACTCGATCGGAAATAAAGATCACCAAAATATGAGTTAAAGTGCGTCAGACGAAATATTCATCTCGGTGACCATTGATGGATCCCCTCGAAGTTGGCACGAACTACAATCTCCTATTAAACTGGACGAAGGAAGAACACATGGCACCATGGCCATTCCAAGTAATGATTTATTTTAAACTTCTAAAGCCACAATGATATTGAACTACCCAAAATCCTTGTTTTCAGCTAAAAAGATGTAAATTATAGTTTGAGATATTAAAGAACTAGACTTGTAAACTAAACAATTAAATAAAACAAGAAATAATTGTTATCTTTCTCCAAGTCGATGATCGAATGGAAAAAATGTTAAAAGTTACGACTAGGGTTGTTAATCGGCTGTCGCCCGTGATAGCTCGAAAATTTCTGCCTTTGTGCCAAGACCAGATTAGGATGCGTTCTGACGAACGAGGTTAGACTGTGAAGATGTGTTTACTGTGCCACTGGCTAAACTTGACTTATATGGGGACCGGGCGTTCAGCACTGTTGAACTTGCCTCTCAGTATACGCAATTCCGCATCAGTAGCTATTTAAAAAAAAATCATTTTAATATCTTTTTAAAGAAGCCTGTGAATTTTTACTTATATTTCTAGTATATGTATTTACATTTTATCTTTATCCTGGTAGTTTTAGATCTGCTTAGATTTCTAACTTCAAGAGAGAATGAGCTAGATCATTCTCTCTTGGTTGTATACATGTAGTAATATTTTTAATTTTTTTAACAATGTATTTATCTCAGAATTTTTAGCTTTCAGTTTTTATGTTAGCATGATCAATTAAAGAGCTATATAAAAGAGCAGCTGAATAGCACTGTTCAAATAGATATATTTCATTACTATTATTTTCTCTAAAAACCTATTAGCAAAACTAAAAACTAAACGAAACGAGCAAAAATCAAGTAATTTAACTTTCATTGTAGCTCAACCAGATATTTCTACAGCCTGGTTTTCGGCGTTCGAGCAGCTCCTCGGTAAAAAAGTTTGACCTTTAATCCATGAAGTGCATTCGCGAATTTTTTTACACTGACGTTTTGTTTTACCCCGATCCGCTCTCAGAAATTTAGTGGAAAGTCGATAATCTGTTCTATGGTATAATACTCGAAATTTTAGTCAGGACACAGCTAATTGAGCTGAAATGAGCATTACTTTATCATTTAGGGAATCCTCATTTAGATCTCAGTGTTTTTATGGCGTTTACTTGGTAATGTATAATCTCCGACTACTTCTCGCTTAACTTATATCCCCGTGATAAAACGGGTTGCATTTAATTTTCAACTAGTAATAGTTGACACTACAGATGCCCCCGCTCTGTTTATTGTCAGTCAATAGTATTCTTGCTCGTTGTGTAGCTTTTTGAAATATACCGATTCAGGAAGATTGTCACACTGACATATTCCCCGGGTACTATAAGGGCTTAGTGGGGACGTGCAGCCAGCCAGGGTATGTTTTTCGAGATTTTTGTCTTGAACAGGGTATCGATTATATCATTTTTTGTCTTCATCAAGGTATCGATCTTGTCAATTTTTGTCTCAAACTAGACTGCTTGCAGTCCGCCTTTTCTCTTAAACTCCGTCCAGACGAGACGAAAAAAGAAAGCCTGTGTACAGATGTCGCCCCTCCCTCAGAAAATAAAAAATGTCTCTTATTTTTTCTTCTCGGGCTTACGCCCTCGTTTCTCGCGACAAGCGGCCTCGCCGCTCGCGTGCTTAGGTTTCGCGTGCAGTAACTTTGCAAAGAAAAATAAGAGACTGCTCGCAGTCTAGTCTTAAAGAGGGTATCTTTTCTTGGACGATAAACAGCGTGCGCCTATGTTTTACGAACTAAACTACAGCAAAATCTTTTTTTTGGTTTCGGGTTAAATGTCTTAAACAGGGTATCAAAAATCGGAATTCTGTCGTAAACAGGGTAGGAAAATCAGCGATTTTTGTCTTAAACAGGGTCAGGGTATCAGGGGCCGGGCCGCACCTCCCGTTTGATTCACGCTAGCGCATTCTAGTCTTATTTGAAACTTTATAACGGAAGGACATCTATGAGCAGGGAATAAGTCAGCACAGAATTTGACTGTCGGCGAATTTCTGTAAATGTCCATCAATCTGCTAGTGATAAGCTAGCCGTTGTTCACTCGTCTTGCTTGTTTGGGGCTGAGTCTTATTCCGGTCAAAGAGAGAGAAAGAGTGTATGGCAAGGTTTCCAATATAAATCAAATGTTTGTGAACTCGTGTCTGGCAAACTCTCCAAGTGTTTATATATCTACACAGTTAAACGCAGTCCCCCCATTCTGTAGTTGCTCCGCACCTTATAACCTCCCCTGCGCTTAACGAGTGTCTTTTGGTCCACAACTTTCAAAACAACTGCTCCACAGAATGTCACTGCGTAACGCAAACGAGTATCGAAGTATGACTGCACAATAAATGTCACAAAATCTACCTGAGCGGTCCCTTCGGGATTTTCTGTCTTTACGTCATCCTAACCATTTCGTACTTGCGGGCGCAAACAGTAGAAACGTCGTCATTACCTACCGATTCCTCGCGGCCCCAGTTCAAGCAAATCGAGATTTTTTCTAGTATACTGACTGTATATTTGAACTGTAAGTACTGTCCTTAATATACGCGCGAGTTACTAGGGTGCCTCCTCGGGATTTCGCCTCTGGGTGAAATCCCTGCGGGGGCAATAAATGTCACAAAATCTACCTAAGCTTTCTGTCTTTACGTTCCTAACCATTTCATACTTGCGGGCGCAAACAATAGAAACGTCATCATTACCTAACAATTCCTGGCGGCCCCTGTTCAAGCAAATGGAGATTTTTTCTGGCATACTGACTGTATATTTCAACTGTAAGTACTTTCCTTAATATACGCGCGAGGTACTAGAGTGCCTCCTCGACATTTCGCCTTCTGGGCGAAATCCCTGCGGGGGCAAATATATTTCATTTGAAAATGGTGTCATCACGTCAAGGATTTACATCTCTAGTTTTACAGAGTTTAATTTACATACATTTCTTTGCAGACAAATCGTTAGTTAAGACAGAACCATTATAGAAGACATTGAAAACATCTGTCGCCCAGTGTGTTTTGATTAATCAAGTATTCTGATAAATAACCATCAATTCCAATTAAGGAATCCTGAGATCCCAATTTACTTGGTAGTCCGTTAATCAATACCGATAAATCCGCCATAATAGGCATAAAAACAAATTATGAAATACGTTCCCAAAAGCAAAGTTGTATCTTCTATTTAGATTTGCAAAAGATCATGGAAGGCCAAACTCGCGCACTAGCCAATAATCACTCCCATCAACGGTGACAAGCGCGTTACAATCTCAGAAAACCCTTTTTTCCTTTACATTAATTAGTTTCCCTTTGATGAACGTGTGAGATGAAAAAGAGAGGGAATGAAAACCTTAAAATGGATCCACAGTAAAATTATACTGAAGCAGATAGGTCCAATTTACTTAAATTACAGCTGTTTAAACCCTGAATTGGTCTGAGAATAACAGAATTTCTGTGGTCACAAGAACCCATCTTTAAGGTAGGGCAGGAGGTAGTTAAAAGACTATTAGCATTCGGTGCAATGTTGGTTCTTTTTTAACCTAGTAGACAGTAGTTCATTTTTGTTGAAACTGATTCTTAAGTTAAACCGGTCCCTGATATCTTCTAACTTTTACCACGCATTGACAAGTTCTACAGCCATATATCTTGTTTGGCTCAAAACGGCTATATTCCAAAAAAGCTGAGCTGGTTTTGAAAATCTGAGCGCTCGAACACTTCTGCATCTAACTGGCAATGTGTAAAACGACGGTCTTCAAAATAGCGCCATTCCTGAATGCTTTAGTCAACATTGCTACGTTCATCCATCGACTATTAAAACCTCGCGTTACTTGCATAAGGAATCTAAGCATTCTTTAACTTTCCTTTCCGTTTGCAGATTGCTCAAGCTGTGCTCATTATTAATAAAATACATCTTACGTTGAGATGGACAGAAATACAAGCTATAGCACAGTTTCATTTGTTTCAGGATTTTCATTCAAATAAAAGTACACAACCTCTTAGTGTTCCAAGCACATCTTTATTGCAACTAATCGCTGTTTTCTAACATTTCACTTAATCAACTAATAAATTGTGGTTATTGTATCATTCCCTTAGCGTAAGCACCCTTCTTAATGCATAGACAGCCACGTTTAAAGTTTCTTTTTACTTAGGTTAGCAAATGAAATGTTTTAGTGCATTGCTACGCAAAATCTCGTTTATGCTTGGACCTTGGCGTTGTGCTCTATACCCACTTGTACAGGGCGCTGTTTACGTTGTACTTCTGGCCATTGTAGTAGTTTGCCACTGCAAGGTAAGTATGACCTTTGTACTCAAATGACGTCATACCATGCGCTCCATGTGTGGGAATCTCTTGGTACTTGATGAACTTCGCTCCAGAGGCCTGGTACACAACTGACTTGGTGTTGTACTTCTGACTATCACCATGGTGATTAGCCACACCAAGGTAGGTTTGACCGCTGATCACAAATGGACACCATGCTATGGCTCCTCGAGTAGGAATGGACTGGAACAGGACAAACTTGTTACCATTCCACTTGTAAATGAACGAATTGGTGTTGTGTTTACTTCCAGAATATTGGTTAGCAAAAGCGAGGAACGTGTGACCGTTGATGCTGAAAGACTTAACACCGCGCGCTCCGTAAGTCTGAAGAGACTGCAGTTTAACAAAGTGACCTCCTGACCACTTGAACACAGTGGACTGAACAGAATACTTGTGTTGGGAGTTGTAATGGTTTCCAAAAGCGATGAATGTGTCACCGTTTATCACAAACGCCGTACATCCCCAGGCACCTTCAGCTGGTATGTCTTGAAATTTGTTAAACTTGCCGCCGCTCCATTCGTAGACACCTGACTTTGTAGAGTGGGTACTTCCGTCATGGTAGTTTGCTACTGCGAGATAATTTTTTCCATGTATCTTGAAGTACGTTAAGTGGCTTGCTCCGTTTGTTGACAATTTCTGAAAGTCGACAAACAGCTTTCCATTCCATTGATAGACTTTAGAATCCAGCCGGTATGTTCCATCGTAATGATTAGCGACAGCAAGGAAATGTTTGTTAGCAATAGAAAAGTACTGGAGGCCATACGCTCCTCTTGTCTGCAGGGTCTGGTACAAAGACAATCTTCCAGTTGAATTGTCCATCTTGTAGATCATGGAATCTGCCTTGTATTTTTTAATGTCCCCATAATAGTTGGAAAAAGCAAGAAACAAGCTTCCATCAATGGTGAAATGTTCAACATCTAATACTCCTCGGGTTGGAAGATCTTGAACTTTCTCAAAGAAGTGGAATCCAATAGAGCAATCTTTCACAAGAAAAAAAAATGTTGAAAATCTTTATTATCAAGCAATTACTATAAAAAACAACTAGAATAAATTGAAAAAATAAGGTAGAAACGTACATGTAACTCATGTGTTGTGTTTTTGCAATTTTAATGTGAAGGAGCCACGTTTTCATGAAATTAAAATTCAGCAACTCTTCTTTTCACTGAATCAACGTACATGTACATCGTAGATAACAGTAATAAATAATATTCATACCGGCTAAACAGCACTTCGATTTGCTCTAAAAGGCAAAATAAAAAGATCAAAATATAATTAAAGGAACAGTATCCGCTTACTGCACATGCACCAAACTTTGATTTTTGGACAGGATGTCGCGAAATCAAAAGATGCGAGGAGAGTAAGAGAATCTTGAAAAATCCGTTTGCATCGCGCTTGGCCGGGTTCAATACGACACTAAAACTTCTCAGGATTATAGATCAATGATATATTGTTCCTGTTAAGTTTCGATTTGGGCAAAATCTGGATTTTTTGGCGTTACTTTTATTGCCGTTGGCCGGAGGACCAAAAGATTGGAAGCACTTTAATGCCGATTGAAGGTTTATTTCTTCTGCTAGCTTACATACAAGCTGAGATAATTGTGAAAGGAATACGCAGAAATGAAACAGCAACAATAAAGACTGTAAGAAAGAAACCGTTGAGACATTGATGTGACTGAGGAGATCTTGTGGAGGGGAGCTTCGTGAAGCAGAATGTTTTGCAACGACGCGTTAGTAAACTTTTAAATGAATCTCCCTACGGCCGACAAAATCAAACAAACAGGCGCTACATGTTTTGAAAAACTATTGACATGAAATCATAATATTATTTTTGACTAACTTTTGTGATGATTGATAGCGTTGAGATTGCATTTTTATTTATGTCTTTCAAACGTTTGAGGCTAGAACGCGAGCAAATCAGGCAGATAGACTTGGAGCGATTGACCTCTGACACGAGTTTCAAATTAGAAAATATGTTTTTAAAGCGAGCGGAACGAGATTTTCGGGTCGCGAGGCGGCCCAGCTAGCGATAAAATCGCGATGAGTCTTCGAACCGCGAGCCAAATTTTTATATAAGACGAAAGACTTCTTCGAAAGTCTAAAATATTACTTGAGAATATAAAGAACAAATCTCTGTCGGCGGTGCGGTCCGGAAGGAAATCTTGTCGAGTCAATTTGACAGTTCTATTGTCTTTTGAAGAAAAAACAGATGACGCTCGCGCGTGCACATAATCGGGACACTGTCCCTTTAAATAACAAAGCTAACAATCTGATAATGTAGTTATTTATGCAAACTATAGGGTTTAACATATGTACCTTCAACTTTTTCTATCGGAAATCTCCCTTGACCGGACATTAAGGGATGTAAAAAGGCTTCCGCTGTCCGAATGACATTGTGCTAATCTAATGATAGCATCATGTTTGGTGTCAGTAAACATAGACTACGAGCATTATTTTGTTCTTCTTTCCTTAAATTAGAGGGACATGCAAGCTGACTTGTACCAGTAAAAAGCTCGATTGTCACTTGTCATGGCCTTGCCGCTCACTTGCGCACGCTCTTCCCTTTAAAAATAACAGGAAAAAGAAGAGATCTTGCATGCAACACGTATATCAAGTCTATGGTAATTTAATTGATGGCTTATCGTATAAGGATTATTAATGCATAAGGGTTATAGAGAGTGAAAATCTGGAAAAAGCTTTGAGACATTTACCTTTGTATCACACGTTCCCGGCATTCCTTTTTGTCCTTGTGATCCCTTCTCTCCTTGTGACCCTTTGCCACCACGAGATCCTTTCTCACCCTTTGTGAAGAAATCAAAAGAAATTATTAATGATGAAGATCTTTTAATATTCTAGAAGATAGCTAAAAGATCTCGGTAATTATACGAACTGATGGCAACTTTGTCCTTTAGCGATACAAAAAGAAAAAAAAATAATGAAGATTTTAACAGAAGCATATAACTCCGTTCGGGGTTATATGCTTCTGATTTTAAAGATCATGCGGTCCTTGTTTTATATCAGAAAGGAATCCATAGTTTTGGAGAAATCAATTTGACCTAAACCGAGTAACATTTACAACTGCACAAAAGCAGGACCACTAAAGAAAATTGAATGAGTCGTTTGTCGCTCTAAGGATAGAGCATGTGCCTTCCATTTTGTTTTGGACTCTGAAAATTAGTCATTTCTGTCTTCAACTTAAGAAGTATAAAGTTACGCTTACCTTAACACCACCATTACTGTTTTTATCCATTCCTGGTTCTCCTTTCTCCCCCTACAACAGAAATAATGATAACCACACAAGATAATAAATAATTAATAATAAAGCTATTGAACTGTAAGAAAATAGTGACAACGATGATGATGAAGATAATAGATAAGAAATAAAGATAATGAAAACTACGAAAAAAACGTGAAACTAATGATCAGATGAAATTAATGAAAAAGGACAGGAAACAGGCCGGAATAAACTAATTTAAAGGCCAAGCCTGCAGATTTTAAGGTGACTAGAGACGGCTTGATAATCATTACCATTCGTTGGGGTGTTATTTAAGACTCGTTGCTGGTTACAAATATAAAGCTCAAATTTGACAAGGACAAAATATATTAAAGACATTACATTCATTATTAAAGTTAAAAGTAAGATTTCGATCGTTGCAACACGGACGGTTGAAAAGAAACCTAAAATGTTGAAATTGTTAGGTTTACTCAAAATTCAGTCGCTGGATTTCCTTACTATTATTAAGTCTCATATTTTAAAAGCACCTTAACCAAATTGCAACAAACAGTTCTTGATATTTTTTAAGATTTCAAAATAGCTTTCGCGTCACAAAATTCATGTGTTTGTTGTTCATTTGAGGCTTTCATTGACTAAAGTACGACATGAAGAGGATTTCTGCTAAATTTCGTTAAATCTTAATGGGTAGATTTTAAAGTAAAATTATTGTCGTTTGTTTACATTGCCTTTGAAAGTCAACAAATCAAAGACAACTGGCAAAAACTGACAACTATAAGTGAATGGAATCTTATTATTTTTGATAATAAGAGCAGAAAGTTACCCAAACTTTTGTAATCATCTATGCAACGTTAGTTAAATTATCCTTATTCGTATTTCTATTATTTTTTTCATTTTTTTTATTTTCTGCATTATTAGTCTCTTTTAGATGTGAAAGCGTTTAAGAGTATTGAAGTTGAAGTAGAAAACTTCTAAGCATTCTTCTCAACCTGTCCTCGCACTTTTTTCTTCAAAAGTTCATTGGCTGCATATCTCCTCATGATTAAAAACTACTTGGCGTTACGGTGCACGAATTTAACATGCATAGTAAATACATAAAGTATTTCTAGAGAAATTGTTTTCAGCAACCTTAGGGTTAAAATAAGGAACAATGTTATGGGGACCTCTTACTCTGGGGAGAAGTTGTACTTTATACTTCGAATTTTATGATCTTCACTCTTTTTTAATTTTTGAGCCAGTTTTTACTTTTAATCTAGTAATAAATTAAATTAATTACTTTAGTAACTTTAATGAGGGACCCACTGAAAACCGCTATGGAAAGTTGGGCTCCTTCTTTAAACATTATTATGAATATTATTATTGTTATTATTATTACTATTATTATTAATATTATTATCATTGTTATTTTTATTACAAAATGCTAAGAGAATAGCCAGTTTGCTTGTCTTTACTGTGGTGGAGATCAAAATAAAGTTAACTGGTCTGGTTATGATTTTGATGATTTTGCATTGTTCAATATATTCAATGACGTTTTATGGAAGGATATGGATCTAGAAACTAAACACTTCCATTTAAAGGGCAGAACATGTCAATAATACCTTAATGCCAGCATTTCCATCTTTCCCTGGTATCCCTGTTTCTCCTTTTTCTCCCTAACATAGATATTTACAAATTAATAAGAAACCAAAATAAGAAACCAATAAGAAACCAAAGCTGTGAAAACTATGACTCTTCTCGTGGCCGTTAGAGGAAAGTTAATAGTTAACAATATTAGAAACGTGAGACGAAACTTGAGCGTCTTATTTACGACGCGCCAGACAAGCAAACGCATTTGATAACCAGCAGTGTTAACCGTCTCTGATCGGATTCAAATCCCTTTCAAAACGAGTCATAAAGACACAGGAACAAACATTAAGGTAAATACATATTATTATTTTATTAGCTAATACCGCGTAAATATATCTTATTATTCTATTAGCTAATACAGCGTTCGGGTTCCCTGTGTATATTAGCTTCTGCCTCAGCAGCCTCGGTGGTTAATAAAGAGAAAAATGTTCAGGGGCACCCAACGACAATTTTCGGAAGAATATCTGTTCGGAAGACGATTTGAGATCTAGAATTTTCGAAACATTTGTTGTAAAATTTCTTGCTTGCCTGTGTCTCCTAGGATTTTCGAACATCTAAAAAATGGTATAATTGCCCATTTTTAACGGATTTTTACCCTAAAAAGGTCGCCTAGAATTTTCGGGAGCCTCTTTTCTGGCTGAAATTTTCGAAAAGGTAAGTTTTGATCCTACAATTTTCGGATCACTAGACTTTCAGCTAGGAAATCCGAACAGATGAAAAATTTTTAGGGGATAAAAATATGCCTATATCTACCGTTTAAATACTAAAATACGTTTAACAATGCTATGTTTAAGTGGTTTTGAACTATATTCTGAATGTTGTCACGTGGGTGAATGTGGTAGGTGCAGGACCACTTCATGGACATACATGTTCCACTAAAAAGAGTTTATTTATTTTCACTGGTTTTGGTAGTTTAAAGTATAACCAAAACAGCTATTTGAATTTAACATTTGGTCCGAGTTTATCTATACTCCTGCTTAGTTATTTATTGCATTAACACTGTATAACCACCATAGAATTGGGCAAGGAAGGTTACACTACAGGCACTTTCCATTCAACAAAAATTCCAGTTTGAAATTTTGGAAATTCCATGTGCCCAATGGAACAGTACATTCCGCTTGCACATGTAAAGACCTGACCTGAGCCACTACGCTTTTGGTTATTGTTCTTGCAAGCAGGATATAAAAGAGCAGTACTGGGGATAACACTTTTGTCAAATGGAAAGGGAGATTTCGGTCGGACAGACTGGAATTACCAGACCGGTCAAAGAGGACCACCTTCAAAGCTGGTCCCGAATATTTCGGTTGGAACAAACCAAAATGGTCCGTTCCATTTTGATGTACAAACCAAAATTTCCCGAATTATTGGTTGAATAGAAATTAATGGCTTAAGGTGGTTGAACACAGTTTTGCAAGCGGTCAGCGGTAACTCGCGTGACCGCGCGTGTTTTTAATTAGACAAACAAACATGGCGGCCAAAAAGCAATGGTACACAGAAGACGATTTCTCAAAATCTGCTCATTAAAATTTTGTGATATTTGGCAGAAATTTTACTTTTATTGTATTTAAGATAATGAAAACTTTAAAATGGAAGTTGAACAGACGAATTTCGTGACACATTTAATAATTACAATACAATTATATTATTGATTATCTAAAAGTCCGTCTGTTAAAATTTGATCAAATAAGTTTCAAATGGTAATGATTAGTTATAGTAAGCTGTGCGCAAGTTTATAGGAAAATCTAATGAGCGAATTTTATGTAAACTGAACAAAAGTGAAATTTTAAGGTTGTATTCAATCGTTCATGTTACCATGGAAACTGCGAAAACGTCAAATTTTACCTGTCAATCAAAATCGTCCATTAGTATATTTTTCACCTGCCAAGTTTCAGCTTGTGAGCTGGTTCCTTTCTCTTGCCATGATTTGGCAAATGACATACACTCACAAACTGCCAAAACTGTGTTCAGCCACCTTAATGTATCTTAACCCAATTGCCCTTGAACCCCCTATAATTGCCCATAAGGATCCACATCCTTTGTATCACTTGCTACGCACATGCCTGAACTTCAGAAGCTGATATTTTGCATCTGGAACAGAAGGCCTTGAAGCGCACGACCTGTAAACGGCTTTTTGGTATGTTTTAGCTCTTTATTACCAGATAGTGACCAGAAAATGGTTCTACAAGCTTCAAAGCACTTTTCAGCAAAATTCCAAGGGGTAAATGGGTTAACTAGTACCTTAATCATGTTATAATAATTTGGCCCCAGGCCCCTCGGGAGTGGAGTGGGGGAAATTATCAGGCTCACAAAGACTTTTTCAAGGCCTGACACTAAATGAAAAAATAATAGACATATTTTTGAAAGGGGGCACTCAGCTGTTACATGGTTGTCACAGACATCGATTTCATACTTTTCAAAAATAATAACGATTGATTCCCTGCAAGACTTCCACAACATTTCGATGACATTATATCGCCAACATTTAAAAGTGTGAACAAGACAGGCATCAGTATATATAAAAAATGAAAGTGTGAAATTACATTTTAAGATAACAAATAAGAAAATAGGGAGTCGCCAAATGTGTGAAGAACAGGTTCTTGAAAAGGGGTTACCCAGAATCATTGCTTGGATTTTCTTGCCATATACTGTCAAGAGATTTGGGGCAAATCAGGTTGAAAGCATATGACTGTAAAAAAATTTACTCGAATTAGTGCCGCCCTTGAGTAAGCACCACATAATTTTGGGACAAAGATTTTATAGTAATAAGCACCACCAAATAATCAAAATCAAAAGACATTCTTTGTTTGTTTAAGACAGCAAATAACAATATCATACTAAATAAAAAAAACAATTCTTTTAAGTAAACGCCACCCTCAAATAAGTGCCGAATTTGAGGCGTGAAAACTTTAATAAGTGCAGCGGCACTTATTTGAGTAAATACGGTATGCTTATTAATGACCGCCCAATTTTGAAATATGTCCTTTCAAAATAAGCCTTGTACCAAGGGAGGATAAAGGGGACAGAGAAGGCATCCCCCATACAGACACTATTCCACAGGTAATTCGTCTCGAGTTATAATTTAGAATCGGAATAAAGTTATCTTGCACGCTGCGTGGATGTTTCGTGGAGGTTTCGCTTGACTTAACGCCATGGAAAACACTGTCGGGCAAAAGGCAATGAAAGTGTAAAGAGATCGAGAGCATTCCTGAATGTTGAAGCGAAATGAGTCGGCGCTCACCTGGGAAAAGGGAAATTGCTAGACTCTTTGACAACCCGTGAAATCAGTTTAACTCGAAGTTGTCGTAACGTAAGTGTTTTGATAACATGAGAAATTTTGCCGGTCTATTGAAACCGGTCGTTTGTACAATAAAGCAAGTAGAACGCCAAGTGTTATTTTTGTTGAATAATAAAAGACTAATAAAAGAATAAATATCAAACCAGAAATTGCTCTCTTCAAACTGTAAGTTATAAATGATCCTGAGAGAATATTCAGTGTGTTAAGGATTTCCCTGCTGTACTGTTAGCTCTATACAAGAGAGGAAGGGCGATTCTTTTTTAATATCCATTTCGCTGACACAGCTTTAGCAGAAATCTCGGGCGCTTTCCATTTACGAAAAAAACCGGAAATTTCGGTGGTAGCAAAAGTGGAATTTCCGATTGGTAAAAAGTTGTTCCATTTGGTCGTAAACCCCGGTACGTGGCGCGGTACCCGACCGTGGACCTGGAACTGGTACAAACTACGAGAAACGTAAATGGAACACGACATTCCGTTCCGAAATTCCAACCGGGAAAACGGGACCACCTTTTTAGATTTTCCACTTTTTTCTGGGAATTTTCCAGTGGGACGAACCGACGAAACGTGTTCCATTTACCGCCAAACCGGAAATTCCGGAAATTTTGACTAAATGGAAAGCGCCCCTCGTTGTAGTCGTTTTCGTTGACAAACTGAATAGCAATATCGCTCTCTGCGTCTTCCGCCATTTTGTTCTGCGTCAATTCATGAAGGACGCATGGCTCTGAGCGTGGGTCATCCACGCGGAACACATTCACGCTATGTGATTGGCTGTTGTCTAATCCCTCTTGAGATCTGTGGTGTTAAAAATAACTCGAGACGAATTACCTATGGAATAGGGTGTGTCACAGGAGAAAATAACAGATTCCCAATATTGGATATTTTAGGGTATTTAAAGAATACCCACAAAAATCCCAAATTTGGCAAAGTGAGACAAGTCCCATCCAGGGAATTTCCAACCAAGTTCCCTGATTGGGACTTGTCTCACTCTTCCAAATTTGAGGTTTTTGTGGGTATTCTTCAAATACCCTAAAATATCCAAAAATGGGAATCTGTTATTTTTTCCTGTGTGTATGGGGGATGCCTCCTCTGTCCCCTTTATCCTCTCTTGATTTGTACACATGCATGTCCTTTTTAAAGGGACACAGTCAGCTGATGCACATGCGCATTAGATACCATTTCTTTGCTGATTTGCATATCACAAATTGGCATGAAACAGAAAGTAAGAAGCGTACCAGGAATAACTCTAAACAAACCTTAAACTAGTTACAAGCCAAATCCTGATTATAGATCCTAGGCCATATCAGTCGCACTCATCTTTTTATATACCATTGAGAATTCATCAATGGGTTTTTCCAGGGAAAGCCAAACATCGACGAATACTTCCAAATTTGAAAATCGGTAGAGGTGAGAAATTGCACGAAGTTTGAATCATTGTCGAAGGTTCAAGGTCAAGAAAGCTTGATTTTCCAAATATTTATAACAATTATTTGCTCGCCGATGTTACTGATTTATTTCTCTTGTTATTTTGGTAAATGAAGGCGATTAATCTCCGGCCGGTGCCTACGCATTTCTCACCTCTTCTGTTCATAAGGTTTTATGAAGGAATTTTTATTTGTCCAATACACAGTGACATAACGTTAAAAAGTTGACCAACTATTTTTGTATATTAAGTCTATAATTTGTAATTTTTTCAGTCGTGTATTCATTTTTGCAAACTATTACCCTAAAAGTTGGTTCAGTAGCACAAAAACATTTAACTACCGGTAATCTATCAATTTTTTAAAAATAATTTCATATCTTACTTTCTTTCTCTGGAAAGAGAAGAGCTCAAATGCCCAAAACCTCTTTATGACAAGTTGTTATCTTCACACTACAGAGAACTTTTTATAAAAGACATACATGTATTAAAAGCTCTCTGGCTCATTTAATTTGAATTACTGGTTTACTACAGGCTTTCTTTAACCGACAGATAGCCAAAGATAGATGGCTTTGGTGCACAGCATTAATGGTGTTATGGGACTTGAATGTTATCAACTATTTTACAATAGCTGTTGATAATGAACTCTCAAGCAAAGAGGAAGCAATATGTTTTAACAAAATAAATGCCAACCTTAATCCCACTGCCATCTCGTCCATCACGGCCATCTTTTCCTGTGTTCCAGACAATAAACAAAAGTGACAAAGTGAAGCCTTGTTATTTAACAAACCTGATCTAATGTATAACAAAGTCCTTGGTATAATGAACTATTTTCTTTACCCTGGTATTTAAATAGTAAAATAATTATATGAAAAAAACCTCAATGAGGCTGTGCTCTACTGGGCAGCACCCAGTCAGTGGCCCCTAAAACCTTACTTTTGACCTTGAGCAACTAGGAAATCTTAGCTTTCCCATAAAAATCTGATGCTTGGCTCCCTGGATTTCACATGTTTAGAGCACTGGGCTCCCAAGTTTCAATTTTTCTTGGAGCACTGGCTGAGCCTTTGATTAGTAACATTACAAGCTGGGGTACAACACAGACAAAAAGCTTCAACAAGGGGAATGACAATTATTAAAAGAAGGATTTTAAATGGTTAAGATTTATTTTGAGAATAATAATTATTCTCAAAATATATCTTATTACAGTATGCCTGCCCACTGACTAACACACTATGCATGAGTTTCATGCATGTGGACTTATTTAGACATTGATTTCACTCGTGCTCACACTGGACAAACAATTCCAGAGAAATTGTTCTTTAACACATGATTAAGGACAAAAATTTGATTCAATTTCTCTTTGACACTTGGTGTCAACATGCTTAAGTTGTCGCCTTTGAGATAACTTTAGAATAATTGATCTCACAATTGATTTGATTTGACTCAGAAAGAGTTGGCAGGTACAGTCTGTATTTGTATAAAACGATAATAATATTAGTAAAATTATGTAGATCACCATTCACTCCATCACGTCCATCTTTTCCTGCAATTACAAAAAACAACACTTGATTATACCTGGGTGGCTAATTATTTCTAAATCATCTAATGCTGCATTAATGCAAATGGTAATGAAGGAAAATTGCTGCATTTTAATGTGACTCACCATGTTGTCCATCCTTTCCATCTTTGCCTTAAATTATTAAAACAAAATACAGGTATTAGATTAATGAAACACAACTGAACTAACTTACCATCCACACAATATAAAATCTCAATCCAGGGAAATTTTAACCTACATGTTCTAAGAAGATTTAATTTTGGTTTTTGATATTAGCTGGGTTTTTTCCATATCCTGCATGGAAATATTATCACTTTGTCTAAAATCAATTTTTACAATAAATTGTAAACTCACCATCCTTACAGCAACCAGCTTGAGGTACAACTTTACAGCTTTTAGACTTTGCTGCAGATCCATTAGTCTGATAGATTGGGAAATTTAACATACTTTATCACTTAAAGAAGTGGAAAATCTACATAAATGATATGAAAACATTCATACATTCATACTGTAGCCGGAGAAAATCCCCGGCCCCTGTCTCTTGATGACAGCCCTGCCTAAGCTTGCAAACTGTGCGCGATGACGTAAGAGTTTAGGAGCGCGCTAGGCCTTCTGGGAGAGATCCGAAAACGTGTTGCGTTCTTGTAGCCATCTTGACGATCTGTGAGCCTTTAGTGAACTGAATCTGTGGAATCCTGTGTGATCCTTTAGAAGTTGGACCCTTCGGAGTGTTGTAACCTTTAGGAATCGAGCCTGACAATCCTTGGAATAAAATACAGTTCATATTCGCCTACATGGTCCATCGTTAGCCGGATAAAAGCGAATTCTACGTACGAGTTGTGAGTGAAGTTGTGTTGTGTTATGGCCGAAGAACTCGCCAGAAAGCGACGGCAGCGTGCAGGGCACAGGTCAAGTGCGAAACGTATTATTTCATCCGTTATTGATGTCCTTGGAGGAGGAGACATTTCTCAAGTGCGGGAACACGAAATCAAGCTGAAACAACAAAGGGACAGCCTACAGCAGAAACTCAATACTCTTCGGCAACTTGATGCAGAAATTCTTGACCTTGTGGCCGAAGAAGAAATCGAAGGTGAAATTGAACGAGCAGATTTGCTGGAGGAAAATGTTCAGTTGGCTATTGCTAACATAGAAAACGCCTTGTCGCCGAAGGTCGTGTGTTCAAATGTAAATACCGAAGCGAACGTGTCGGAAAGCACGTCAGCAAATGAAGTTCAAATCGGGAGTAATTCTTCGCCTCCTTCAGCTTCAACGTCGAATTCCTCTTCATCTGTGCGGAGAAATACTCAAGTTAAATTGCCAAAGCTGGAGTTAAAGAAGTTCGACGGCGATCACAGTAAGTGGATTTCTTTCTGGGATAGTTTTGAAGCCTCAGTTCATAAAAATGAGAGTTTAACTGCCATTGACAAATTTAACTACCTAAACTCGTTGCTCGAACGGTCAGCGGCAGAGGCCATTTCCGGGTTAAGTCTTGGGGCATCGAACTATGAGGAAGCAATAGACATTTTGAAAGCTAGATTTGGCAACAAGCAGCAAATAATTAATCGTCACATGGAAATTTTGTTGAATCTTGAATCTGTCACATCTCACTATCATGTAAGAAGCCTACGTCAGCTGCACGACACTGTTGAATCTAATGTGAGAAGCTTAAAGTCGTTAGGAGTTTCACGTGAATCGTATGGGGGTTTGCTATCATCCATCTTAATGAATAAGCTACCACAAGAATTTCGTCTTGTTATTACAAGAGAAATGGGAGATGATGATTGGCAGTTGGATCAATTGCTCAATATCTTTAAAAGAGAACTTGAGGCAAGAGAAAGGGCAGGAGGGTCTACAGTGAACAAAGGACAAACCTCTCCACCAAAACCGAAACGAAGGGAAGAAGGAACTACACATGCCTTGTTAACTGGTGGTGATGCTAACTGTCCCACCTGCACCTACTGTAGGGGAAAACACCCATCAAGGCATTGCCAAACAGTACCTGATGTACTAGCTCGTAAGGAGCTTTTGAAGAAGTACGGGAGATGTTTTGTTTGCCTGCGAAAAGATCACATTAGTCGTAACTGCTCAGCCAAATTCAAGTGTCATAACTGCAAGGGCAGACACCATGTTAGTATTTGCCCAGCCAACCTGAGTCCTTTACAGCCAACGAAACGTGAAACACCAGTTCCCACACCAGGACCACAACAGCAATGCTTAACAGCCCAAACTGCCAGCAATGGTGTCGTTTTTCATACTGATTCCACTACACCTGTGTTCCTTCAAACTGCCCAAGCAGTGGTGTACAATCCTCAACAGCCAGAGGTTAAGGTCAGGGCTAGAATAATCTTGGACAGTGGAAGTCAGCGCACCTATCTTACGAACAACCTGAAGAACATTCTTCAGCTACCTACACTAGAGAAGAAGCAAGTCTCAATAAAAACCTTTGGAAGTACCGTTGAAAGATTAGAGTTGGTAGAAGTTGTGGCCCTAGGAGTAGAGCTAAACGGAGAACCAGATCTTTCACTGTCAGCTTTTACATTGCCTCTAATTTGTCAACCATTACAAGGTCAACCTGTGGAACTAGCAGTGAAAAATAACCCCTGCCTTTCGGGACTCAAACTTGCTGACTTTTGTACCGAAGGAGAGACTCTTGGTGTTGACATTCTAGTTGGTTCAGATTATTATTGGAAGTTGGTGACTGGCCACACCATTAAAGGGGCCCAAGGTCCTACAGCTGTTCACACCAAACTGGGATGGGTACTTTCAGGACCCGTTTGCTTAGGGAGTGTAGAAAATCAACAGAGAAGTAATCTTGTGACAACCCATGTCTTAAAATGTGCTACTGATCAAGTGTCCTATGATGGTCTTCAGGGAGAGTTGAAGAAGTTCTGGGACTTAGAGTCTCTCGGTGTGAAGCCGCCAAGTGTCTATGAAGAGTTTGTTGAGAAGTTGTTGTACAAGGGAGACCACTATGAGGTCAGTCTCCCGTGGAAGGCTACACATCCACCACTCCCTGAAAATTATGAGTTGAGTCTTCGAAGATTGCAAGGTTTGCTGAGTCGACTCCGTGAGAAGCCAGACATCCTGAAGGAGTATGACAGTGTTATAAAGGATCAAATCGAAAGAGGAATTGTGGAAGTTGTGAATGAAGAAACCAAGCCTGATGTCGTCCATTACATCCCTCATCACGCTGTTATCAGACGAGACAAGTCAACTACAAAGTTAAGAATTGTATATGACGCCTCAGCCAAGTCAGATGGAGCTTCATTAAATGATTGTCTTCATGCCGGTCCTGCGCTTACACAAAGTATCTTTGACATTATGTTGAGGTTCCGAAATCACAGAGTAGCTCTGGTGGGAGACATTGAGAAGGCGTTCTTAATGGTCCATATGAATGAAACTGACAAGGATGTACTCCGTTTCCTGTGGGTCGATGACATCGATAAGGCTGAACCTAAAGTTATTACACTGAGGTTTACACGTGTTGTGTTTGGACTCTCTTCAAGCCCATTCCTACTGAACGCCACCATTAAACATCATATAGAGCAGTATGAACAATGTGACCCTGATTTTACCAGGAAGTTTCTTGAAAGTATCTATGTTGATGACTTGACATCGGGGGACAGTGACGTGGACAGCACCTTTGAGCTCTATGTGAAATCGAAATCGAGGCTTAGGGAAGCAGGTTTCAATTTGCGGAAGTTTATCACAAATTCAGGAGAACTGCGAGCGAGAATTGAGAACAGTGAGAGATTGGTCTCAGGAGAAACAGCTTCTGGAGATGGAGGGAATGTTGACAAGCAGGTTGTTGAAACACCAGTAGTAGACACAAATGTCGTGGAAGAAGAAGATATGACCTATTCAAGAAGTGTTCTAGGAAGTACAGTTGAAGATGTTAGCGTTCAAAGAATTTTAGGGACTCTATGGAACTATCACAATGACAACCTTGTCTTTGATTTTACAAACACTGCCTCTTTAGCAAAGAGAGTAGGACCTACAAAGAGAAACGTGATCAGGACAGCCTCAAGAACGTATGATCCACTCGGTATGATTTCTCCGATCACAGTCCAGTTTAAATCCTGTTTCAAGAGCTATGCAAGGACAAGAAAGACTGGGACGAACCACTGGAAGGTTCTTGCAAGTCAATCTGGCAGAGATTGGTGACACAACTGCAGGGTGTTAAACCTCTTACTCTTCCGAGATGTTATTATGCTGGCACGGAAGGGGAAGTGATTGCGAGTGAACTGCATGGGTTCTGTGATGCATCAGCTAAGGCATACGGTGCGGTGGTCTTTCTGCGTATTGTGACGACGTGTGCAAGTTATGTCAGATTTGTATCTTCAAAAACACGAGTAGCACCTCTCTCGGAGCAGACCATACCGCGTCTAGAGCTGTTATCCGCGGTAGTCCTGTCCAGACTGATCCATAGCGTAAAGGAAGCACTTAGTTCTGAGATGAAGATTGACAAATTGTTTTGTTGGACAGATTCCAAGATAGCCTGGTATTGGATTGTTCAGAGCCAGAAGGAGTGGAAACCATTTGTTCAGCACCGTGTTGACGAGAGAAGAAAGCTTGTACCTGAAGAATGCTGGAATCATTGTCCAGGGGCTGACAACCCAGCCGACTTACTCTCTAGAGGTATGGACTGTCGTGAGTCGGAGAACAGTGTGCTATGGTGGAATGGTCCCAAGTGGCTGACTAGTTTCGAAGGCCTGGAGAATCGGAAGGAGATTGCGGAAGAGCCAGTCCCTGAAGCCTGCCTTGTGGAAATGAGGGTGAAGGATCGAAAGACAGTAACGACTGCTCTTGCAATGAACAGTGAACCTACTATGCTGTGTAATATCATTCAAAGTGAAGCCTTCAGTAATCTTGGACGTCTCCTGCGAGTTACAGCCTTAGTTCTGAAGTTTATTAAGCTATTAAAGGCACAGCGACAGGGAGATGTGAATCAGAAGCCGGAGATACGTGTGACCGGTGCAGACATAGAAGAAGCCGAACTTCTATGGATCAAGGAAGTACAACGAGAGATGAAGAGTAAGGAGAAGTTTAAGATGAGGTCGCACCAGCTAGGGTTGTTTGAGGACGATAAGGGAGTTATTCGATGTCAAGGTAGACTCGGGAACAGCGAGCTTACAGATTCTGCGAAGTATCCAATCTTGCTTGACGCTAGCCACCACTTAACTACACTTGTAGTCTGGAGATGTCACGAAAGAGTCATGCATGGAGGAGTTAAGGAAACACTCACCGAGTTGAGATCGAACTTTTGGATTGTTCGAGGCCGATACTTTATCAGAAGTTTGTTGTTTAGATGCACAGTTTGTAAGAAGTTTGAAGGGAAACCGTATAAGGTTCCACAAGCTCCACCTCTGCCTAGCTACAGAGTGAAAGAGGCGCCTGCATTCTCGTACATTGGTTTG